ATATCACTGCCAGTACAATGCGATAGAGATGGTATGGTCACAGTACAAGCGGTTTTATGACGAATTTTTTTTAACAAAGTCACCAGAAGATTTATTTCAGATTTGGTCAGAAGTTTTGAATCATGTTACCGATACTCAGTGGGACAATTATGTAAGACACACTAAAAACATAATTATTTTTGATTGGAAAAAATACAAGCAATTAGATGTTCTGATCTAGAACCAATTATGAATTTAGGTACAACAGCAAGTAGTGATGAGTTTGAATCAGAGTCCAGTTGTGAAGAAAATGATATTGATTAAAAAAATGTATATGAGTTATCCAATAAATATTTTCTATGCCTCTTGTTATAATATATTTTTTTAACAAAGAATCTGTTTCACGAATTTGCACCTGTTTTGAATTACCTTTAAATATTCTAAAAACGTTAAAAACCAATGTTCAGCTGGGAAATTTATTTATAAAGTACGAAAGTAAATTGTTATAGTATTTGCAGAAGGTGCTGGATACGCTCTCACAGCTTCAAGTGAACATAGACTCCATCTCACCAAGATTTAAAAAGAAAATATTTAATTTTTTATTCAATGAGCAATGCAGTAGTAGTGATTTTTTTGTGGTTTTGTTCTTTTGTGATTTTGCGCTGCAATTTTAATGAACGTTTTGTTTTATATTTTTGCTTTTGTTCTGGGCTGTTTATTTTTTTGAGGCACTTGAGGAAGAACAGCTAGCTGATCCTGCGCCTGTTAATTAACATTTATATTACTATACATTATTATTCCGGCTACATGCCTAATTTATTATTTATTTGTGTATTTTTTTTTTGTATAAACAGTATTATTTATTTATTTTTATATTTGCATTTATTCTCTGTTGGATGTTAGTTAATAAAGACATATTATTATTATTTTTTGTGTCATCGGCTTCAACTGCTAAGGTTATTTCGCCTCGTGTTCTGTGTAGGCTTTGTAACTGTTTCCCAGCGCCACTTTAGGAACAGCACTGTTAATTAGAACCCAACAGTGAATGGTTGAGTGGGGAATCCTACCAAGGCATCAGAATTAATTTTAAATAATTAAATTAAATGAAAAAATTCCGGCTAACGGTGGGATTCGAACCTGGGACCCTTGGATCCACAGGCAGCGACTTTACCACTGAGCCACCCACCCCCCTATTATTATTATTATTATTATATATCTTTCATAAGCGATATAAAGTTATAACAGAACAAATAGAAGAGCCAGAAGTGGAAGGTACGATTCATATCTACACTGACGGTTCTAAAACAAAACAAGGCTCAGGATGTGGAATATACTCTAGATCCTTAAACCTAAACAAGCTTTATTACTCCTATACTGAAATCCGGAGATAACTCATATGTTGATAACTATCGACCCATCAGTATATTGAGTTGTATTCCTAAATTATTTGAGAGCCTTGTTTGTGATTATCAGCTAATTTAAAAAGCTGTTTTATTAATCAACAGTTCGGATTTATTTCTCATCGTTCAGCAGAACTTAACCTTTTAACATTTACTGAATATCTCTTGGAATACCTAGAGGACGGTTATCAAGTACATGATGTGTATACAGATTTAAAAAAAGCCTTCGATAGGGTTAACCATAAAGTTTCAATTAATAGGATGCAGAGTTAGGGCTATCTTCTTACCTTACTGAAAGAATACAGATAGTGCGTATTCAGGTCTTCCAATCAGTAGGAATTAAAGTATCATCGGGTGTACCACAAGGTTCACACGGACCCTCTTCTATTTAATTCATATGTTAATAATATTGCATCCTGTTTTGTCTTTGACCTATTCCTAATGTTTGCAGATAATTTAAAATTATATATGAGAATAAAGAACGAATCTGATTACATAAAACTGCAAGCTGATTTAGATCGTCTCAGAAACTGGGGTGAAATCAATGGAATGGAACTTAATGTTAAAAAGTGACATCAAATGGTCTTTAGTCGTAACAGAAGTCCCACAGAACAAATAATCTACAATATTAATGGTTGCCCTTTGGAATCGGTGTCTCAAGTTAAAGATTTGGTGTAGTCCTCGCTTCGAACTTATCTTACGTACCCCATATATCAATGGCAGTCTCAAAATCACTTCAAATGCTAGGCTTTATTAAACATTGATTAGATTTTTTAGAGGTATAATCCATTAAAATATTGTTTTGTTTACTTGTGAGGCCCCATTTAGATTACATTTATAGAATATAATGTTCCAGATTTTCCTATTGTAAATGGAACTAACAATGTCTACTTAAAAAGTTTTAAATTAATTGATAGGGACACTTTAAAGGAAATTATTTTTGAAATGGCAAATAAAGGAAGTCCTGATGACATACATGAAGAATTTTTGAAAAATTGTTTTGGTAATGTTGCACTGCCCTTATTTAACATCATAAATACTTCTATAGAAACCAATACCATTCTATCAATCCTAAAAGTTTCAACTATATGTTTGTACTATTGAGAAAGTATTGGAAAAAGTAGTTTATAGTCAACTTGTTGAATATCTAGAAGGGAATAATTTATTAAATAATGTACAGTCGGGATTTAGAGGTAGACATAGTTGCGAAAGAGCTCTGCAGTATGTTTTAGATGAGTGGAAACAAAACCATAACAATAAATTAATAACAGGCGCTGTTTTTTTTAGATCTTCAGTGAGCATTTGAAACTGTTAACCGTTCTTTACTTATTAGAAAACTAGAAAGTTTTGGTATCATTGATAGTGCTTTAAAATTGATGATAGGATATTTAGATAATAGAAAACGAAAATTAAAATTAAATAAAATTTTATCTACTGAAATTACAAACGAGTGTGGTCTACTGCAAGGTCCCCTACTTTCTTTATTGTATATGGATGATATCTAATGTTAAGTCTTCACTTATTTAGTATAAGTAAGTTTAAATTGAATATTATCATCCATTATGAAACGTAATATTTCACTTAAATTTATTATTCTCATTACTTATACTTCGTCAAGACGGTATTGCCCTAATCGGTCAAAGACCACGTCCGCGTGGCGAAGAACGATTCTTGAATTCAAACGGTCGAGCGCCAGTATCGCCGCAAATCTCGTAGAATACACTCGAGTATTCGAGCATTATGATAATTCGGTACAAACCCGCAAATTACATTTCCGAACATTCAAATACCAGCGCCCCTAATACAGTCCACGACCCCTGCAGCTTAGGGTGGACGCGCCTAGGAAGAGAAGTCTGCGTCAGGAAGCCAAGGAAATTAAAGGTAAGATCTGATTGGCGAACCTTTAAATTTTCTTACACGCGTGACATACCGTTAGCTTAACCATAACCTATTCATCTCATTTATTATTGATAGATGCAACAATCATCTGTTTGCAGATGATATTTTAATCTATTATGCATCAAATGATCTTATCGATATAATTAATGTAATAAATGAAACACTCAAGTCAATATATAAGTGGTGCGGCGTCAACTCATTAAAAATTAATAAAAATAAAACGAAATTCATGATTATAGGAAACGACAAGCAATACCATGACTTCAATGAATATAATTATGATATTAAAATAGCAAATGATAAAATTGAGGAACATGCTTCATACATTATTAAAACAATAGCATTTAAAATCAACTACTTAAGTAGGCCATCTAAACATCTAAATCAATGGTCACTTTTACTTTTATATAACAGTTGTATTTTACCTCATTTCACTTAATGTGGAACCATTGTCTATTTACTAAACCAAAATGAAATTGGAAGACTTCAAAAACTTCAGAATAGAGGAATGAGAGTAATATTATCTCCTGATAGAAGAACACATATAATATTAATGTTAAATACATTAAAATGATTATCTGTTAAAAATCACTTTCTTTATCTAACATTAATATTTATTTTTAAAATAAAAACTGGCGATGTTCCTGTACATTTAAGTGACAAATTAAAATATAATTTTGAATTTCATGAATACAATACAAGAAGCAGCACTAACTTTCATAACGTCAGGAGAGTGGTGTCAGTTCAAGTAACACAGTTTTCATTAAAGGAGTTCAAGCATTTAATGAACTGCCAGAGCAAATTAAGAATGCTACTTCACTTAATATATTTAAGAGGAAATTAAAAGGGTACATGTTAGAACAACAAAAGAAGAAACCTGCTAATACACTTTTTTTTATTTATTTCATTGTGTTGTTGTTATTTGTATATTTTAATGTATATGGTTTAAAATTTTTAATGTAATTTTTAAATTTAATTTTTTTTTTTACCTAGATTAAGACTACTGCATTGATATATTTGTATTAGCTTGCTGCTAAATAAACGATACACATGCACTGTTCATGTGTCTGGTACCCCAACTACAATGTTCAGATTCACTAATCAGTATTCTGATAGGTTGGACTGCTTTGATAATAAAACAGTATTTAAATCCCAACTTAAATCATGTATGTGATATTTTGATGTCTAAATAATTTAAGATAATTTAATTTAACTTATTTACAACTGTTACCTATCTTGTTTTTTTATATCTATTATGTTAATTTTATGGTAATTTATTTCTTTGTTACAACATTCTCTAAGAGTAGGTTACATTTTAAATTTTCCCTTTTATTAAACTTGTATTTTAATTGGGAAATTGCTCGTTGATAAATAAATAAGTAAATAAAATGGGCTGTGAGCTAGTGTAGTTCAAACAGAGCTGAGGGGGATTCTCATAGAAGCAAAAGAAATCATCAGAAGCAATATCACTGGAAGGAACATGCTCATTTATAAAGATAGCAGACAAGCACTTACTCACCCTGAATAGACCACGAATTTACTCAGGGTTAGTAAAATGTAATCTTAATTTTTTCAAAGTGACTTCTTGTATTCATGTTAATGAATCTTAATAGATTTTATGCTGCTAAGCAACAACAAAGCACGACCTAAATAAGAAGATACAAACTGTAACTAAAAATGTGCTACTCTTTTGTCATCTTCATTTTATTTTCAAGACCTTACCTTGCGTTTGGCTTTCTTGCCTTGAGTGTTAGCTAATCTAGCTCTAGCTTCAGACAGCATTTCTAACTCATCCTCATCCATATCCTTAGGATCTGGCCTAGCTGGTTTAGTTTCAGGGTTGGGATCAATTTCCCCAGGTTTAAGCTTCCTAGGATCGTCAACTGCATCTTCACCTTCCTCTTTCTTTTGTGCTTGATCCCTACAAAAAAGTTCTTTCAGTAGTTCAACAGTACTGGCCTTTAAGTTTCAATAAATCTATCATGAAATTAATAAATAACCCAAATCAATTTGAATCTTAAAGGGCCTATGTACATTTTTTTAAATATATTTTGTTTAAATGAAGAACCTATATACTTAAAATTAATTACTATTATGATATTCTTTCAAATAAAGACGTTGCCAAGGAATAAAGGATCTATGTTCTACAGTGAACCATTCAAATAAGAAATTTTAAACTCATATATCTCTAAAGTATCTTTTTGTTACATAGACTCTTCATCCACTTGTCTTCTTTTGCAATAGTTAAATGTAACACGCATAAACCCCACATAATAATAATAATAATACTCTCCCTAATTTACATATACATATTTTAGATGTAACTAAATACTTACAGCAAATATTCATATCGTTCTAGACATTGCGCTGCTGTCCTACCGATAATGGGAGCGATGGTTCTCCATTGAGTCGGCATTAGTTTGGCTAAATGTAATAATTTTTCATCCTCCTCCCTAGACCATTCCGTTTTCTTGATACTGGGGTCCAACCATTCAAACCAACGGGCTTTACATTGCTTCGCAGATTTTCTGTGAAGCAATGAGGCTATTCTAGACCATTGGTTTTTGCCATATTTCATTACGGCAGCTTTAAGAATTTCATCCTGAAATTTATTTTTGATTGTAATTCGAATATTCTGAAATAATTAAATATGTATATATTACCTCTGTGTTCCTCCAGACACCACCTTTTATCATTATTCTCGGCATTTTATGGTTTATTCAATTGCAATACAACTAAAGCGAAATTTTATAATTTTATCACCTCTGTTGGTAAATAACCTTAATTTTTATACACGGAATATGCACGGAATGAAAAAGAAACTGTCATTTTTGACTTTGACGTATTGACACAAGACAGTGGGTTCTTTCGTTCGCTGTCGGTGCAGTGTCCACCAGTGTAAATTACACCAGTTACGCCACCTTTATTTACCTAGGGTGAGATTACAGAACGTCTGCAACTTTGCAAATCTGCAAATATGGCGGACTTACAAATGCAAGTATTCCAAAAAATATCTGCAAATTCGCAATATTTATTGTGGTTTATTACCCCCAACAACCCTAAACCCAAATTTGGAATACGAAAACTTGATATTTGCATGTGTAAGTCAGTCATATTTGCAGATTTTCAAAGTTGCCGCCATATTTGCAGTTCTGCAAAGTTGCAGACGTTCTGTAATCCCTAGGGTGAGATTACAGAACGTCTGCAGTTGCAGACGTTCTGTAATCTCACTCCTAGTTTAGATCCGATTCCACCAAATGTAAAAATGTAATTTTAAACTTCGTTTAACATAACGGTGGAATCGACCCTTACTTCCTCCTTATTCTCGATTTACATGATCACGTTCTGTGATGATCTCCGAACAATTACTACGTGATGATCACATGTCGAGTATAATTCACTCCTGCTAAATAGTAGCTGGTGCTGCTGGAGAAAATATCTACCAGTGCCACCAGTGGACACCACATCACCGAGAGGAAGGTGTAGTGAATTTGGTATATATACTGGGATTTTACACAGGGTCAAACAAAAGGTATGAGGTGCGTTAGTGTAGTTAGTTCCTACACCAGTGGGACGAACGAAAGAACCTCTTCTTTCTAGGTGCGTTTTAATCATCCGCTTCTGCTTCGGAATTGTCGGTTTTCTTGTTTTAATCTGACAGGTTAAAACTACTATACCGACAATTCCGGAAGCAGAAGCGGATGATTAAAACGCACCTTCTATTAGGCTTAGGACCGATTACACCGTTGTGTTAAACGAAGTTTAAAATGAAATTTTTACATTAACAGGGTCATTTTAATCTCCGTTTAACACAACGGTGGAATCGGCCCTTAGGCATTCCAACCTTATCATTCTACCCTCTCTACTTCTTTGGTTATATTTTAGAGATGGGTACAGAGTTGTCTCTGATGGGTAGTAACAAATCCGTAAATGTATTTTCTACTCTCTATCTCTAAATTCCAGTGTAACACCGGAACTTTTAGAGAAGTTGTAACCGAATTTCCATTTTCGTTCAAGGACGACTCAAGCATTGCGTTCGGTTTGCCACGTTCCTTTAACTCCTTTAACTCCAAACGACTCTTTTAGCGTTCGGTTTAGTCCGATTAGTGACAGTTTAACACGCTTAAATGTCATTTAAAAGCACCCTAAAATTTGTCCCGCTCCAGCCCACGGCGCACTATAAAGGTGTTTCAACTCCCTGAAAAAAACATACCAAAACCGGTCATACTTAGGGCAAAAATCCGCTAGGTTCGCTAGTGTCGTTACGGCGGAAAATTGCGGCAATCATTTTATCTGTCAGAAAAAGTGCAATCATAAAAATAGTTCTTCTATGGTGAAAATTCGAGTTTATATGAAATGAAAAATGACAAAACTATCAGAAGAAGTACAGATGAAAAAATTAATGGTCAACAAATAAGTTTATTGTTATTGATGGTTGCTTATAAGTGTTTTTTTTTAAAGAAGCTACACTGATGTGTGCGTTTATACGATCAAAAAAAGTGTTCAAGATTTAATAAATATGCTCCAATTAAGTTACAAGTTGCTGCCAGAGACTTGCTACTAAATAAGTTAAATGGGGGTGTTTATAAAAAACAGCTGATTTTGTTTTGTGTTCAAATATTACCTTTGGTTTTGGCAAAAACAGCAATACAGTGGGTTACTGATTATAAAATGAAGAAGTGGACCTTAACTATGGTACTCAGATTGAAGCTTATTATTTTTAAAGTGAGTTTTGTGATTTTCATTGCCCAGATTAAAGATATTCAATAAACATTTAGTTTTATACCTACTATAATCAAATCCATACATAGTGATTGGAATTACAAACATTTCTGTGAAATAGCATTATACCAGAATAATGAAGTCTCACTGGACTGGAGTATATATGTTTCCAAAGATCAGTAAGTACCTATATCAATTATTATTATTTTTATTAATAAGTATCAGTAATAAATACATCTCAAAGAATAACAAGGTTGTAACTGTACTTTTTGGAAAAAATGAGATTGGTAGAATATATTAATTAATTTGTTTTTGTGACCAATATGTTCATCTGTTAATTATCAATGTTGTGTTATTGAAGCACTAAAGTTATTCACATGGTTCTATCTGCAGGTACATAGAACTTATACAGTTTTTAGCAAGTGTCATTATAGTAGTTATATCTTTGTTATTCCCTAATCCCTAGCAAATGTAGTCTCCATCCTCCACAATTATATTAAGATTAAAGGCCAGGTTTTTACCTCTGAATAAAGTTTAAAGTAACAACTTGCTGATTAGGCTATAGATTATACTTATGCGTAACTTTACTCAGAGGTTAAAAAATCTGCCATTAAAAGAACAGTGAGTTTTAGAGCATAAACAGTATTAAATATAATGGGTATTTTTTTTATTAAACTTTTTGTTTTTAAACAGTTTTGATTGAAAATTATAAAAAAAATGATAGAGGATACCTAGAAAGATTTATAATATAAAACAACATTTAAAAATTCTGAATTAACAAAAGTATGTATTTTTTGTTCCAAGCTTTGTCTCTGTTACCTAAACTAAATACTAGAAACACAGTTTTAACTGGCAGTTACTACTATGCTTTATCAAATATTCTAAAAAATGTAGGTCGCTTAGTTCTTTCTGCATTTTTTATCACTTAAGATTTTCTCTTAAATTAGAGTTAGAAACACAATGAAAATCAAACAAGTTAATGGCTATACACTTCAACTCCAAAAAATAACTACCTGTCTAGATACAATCTTGTTATCCTAATATGACAGATGTAGAAGATTTATACAAATGTGAAAAACATTTTTCGTTCTGCAATGCTAGATGAAATCTTTAATTAGGCATCAAATTTGTAAAATGTTAGAGATAGTATGTAGGTATATAGAGAAAATAAAAAATATAATTATAATGAAGAGTAAGAACTTTTAAATTTTAATATAACTAGAACAAAATATTCAGTAATTAAAAATTTTGATAGGAATTAAAAATTTGCTCGAGTATAAATGTTGTGCTTGTTTTTAAGTGGTTTCGATTTACTTTAGGTTTGTTCCAACAATGCTCAGAAATGAGTTACTGACATCAGGATTCTGCACAGTAGTTTATTGAGACTGCAAAATTGTGTACTACCCAGTGGTTCGTTTCTGATCGTTGGAACAGACCTTTTATTCAATAAATAATCAAACAAGTTAAATGTGTATTTGGAATTTTTTTAATTTTACAAATCTGGAGCTTGAATATGGATTTTCAAATGATGCACTTTTTGTAGTTTTTAATAATGCTTATTTTTTTTTTTAGTTTCTTGTTCATTTAATAAAGATGCTTTTTTGTATATGGGGTGATAATTTTTAAGCAGAGGCGTGCAGCACCCACAAGATCACTGCCAGAATTAATTCAAATGGGTAATCTAAAAATATGGAGTAGGTTCCCTGCACAAGATTTTCAAGAACTTGTAAATACAATGTTTTAATGAATTATTGCCATTATCAAAGTTAAAGGTGATGAAACACTCATGAAAATTTGTAAATATTTAACCCTTTCAGTGTATTTGTCCCTCCAGAGGGACACTGTCTTAATTAACCCTGAAGTATACATCTGTTAATTTTGGTAGAATGTTTTTCTTTTTGGTTTATTTACTTTATTTGCATTACTTTCAAGGATTAATATTTAAAAAAATTTATTTTCATAGTAAATTTTTGTTTTTGTAATGTCCCTGAACAGGGACGTTATGTCTTGGAGTAATAAAAAATACTATGAAAATATTTTAATTTACTTAAAATAAACAAAGAAAACATACAATCTACTACAATGGTATTTTTTTTAATGAAAGTGGAAGTGAAAGGGTTAAAAAAATAAAAGAATTTATCAGATTTATGTATGATTTGTTCTTGTAGTGACAGTCACTATAAATATGAGAAGTGTGCTAATTGAAACGGGACAGGGCTCATATAGTTTTATTTAAAAAGTAAACCTTGTCATTAATTAAATATAAATGATTATTATATTATTGAAATATATAATGTAAAACAAATTGTTGTAATGTTTTTCTGAAATCAGAAGTGTTGTCAGGTTTGTTACTGTCTGCTGCTAACTGTGACGTGTACAAGCGAACATAATAAACCTACTTATTGAGTACATTAATATAAAAAACTCATAATAAATCTGGAAACTATACATTTGAAATTTTCCTACTTATTTTTTCATTACAGCTATTATCCAATAGAACAATTCCTATGCTTTTATTTAATATTTCATTTTCCACAAATAAATATAAAAAAATAATTAGTAAAATTATAAAATGAGTTCCAATTAAATAATGAACTATATTATTAATTGAAATTGTTAATATAAGAAATGAATAAATTAAGAAAATAAGTGTAATAATGGGAAATGTGTAAATTGTATTTATTTCTAATTTTATATAATTTTGTGTGTATTGTTAATTTTCTTTCTAGTGTAAAATTAATAAATTAATAATTTTAACAAAAATTTAATGAGATGTTTTATTTGTGTTAGAATCCGAATACAATAAGAATGCTGCTGTCATAATGATTACTCTGAATTTCAAATACATAGTATCTATAACTTATCAATAAATAAATATTAAGTTGTTAGGTATAAAAAAATATTTCCTATATTCCTAAAAGATTAACACTTCACCTCCAGTGGATAACTTCGGTAACTGTATCAGCAATACTTTCCACATTCTCGT